TTGAAATAAGTTTGGTGTGCTTACTTCGGATTACCTCAGACCTTTTTTTTTAAGAGTCCTCACCATTACTGGTTATACTCGCTCCGCTGGCTTGTCGCAGTGGACAGATGTTATCCCTTTACGATAGAAGTACAGGCCGCATCATCCGACCTCAGACTATTGTTAAATATTAAAGTTAATAAATTATGACTAAAATATGTTTAAAAGAAAAGGAAAGAATTGGAACTAGTCTTTAAAATTTTAATTCAGAAAAGAAAATTTCAATTTTAATCCTACTCCTTAATAGTGTTTTCGACTTTGTTTATCGCACACTAGTGGTACCTTTGGACCAGGTCATCTGTTTTCCTTTAAAATTTTGTTTTTCTAAGATTAAATCGTTGAACGATGATAAGTTCATTTATATTTTTTTATCGAAATGTAAGTAGGAATTTTTTTTGTGGAGTTTTTTTTACTTGAAACTTTTAAAAAAATTCTTAGTTTCAAAATTTCAATGGTAATTTGAATAATATCTTTATGGTCATTTTTTGGTCCGTACAATTTATTTTTTTCTGATTCTTTCTAATTTATACCGATCCCTTCTCTTTCCTTTATCATTTCTAACATTATCGTTTGATTTCGAATTCATTCTAAATTATATTAAATCGTTCACTGCTGGTTAGACTATATCTTGTTGGAGCAGACAAATTTTAGCAGGGATTGTTTAGCGATAGAAGTACAGATGAATCTCCAGCATCAGCATCGACGCTTCGAACCAAGCGACAATTCACTGAACCATGCTATATCCTTATTGCTTTCTGCACTGATGCTGAGAATGATGCATCGGCAAAATCCAAGCGATTCTCGATTCACGATGGTAATTATCTTGCTACTAGCTAGCGATGCATTTGGAAATGCAAATGGGTTGCCAGCATCCCTCGAATTTTTTATGGAAAAATTTTTTCCTTTATGAGAGGAATTAGAATCTATGTTATTTAATATGAATCGAAGCAAAAGATTGCAACAGTTTTTCTTGTCTTTATTTTTTTGCAGACTTTTACGCTTTCTTTTCATCATATATATTAAATAAGTATTAATAAATTATATCATACAACTGATAGTGATAATTTCGCTTATAATGAGACATCACTTTTAAAGTGATGTTCCATTGAAATTTAAATTGGCTGTAATAAACCATGTCAACAACAATGACTTTGTCAAATCATTTTTATTCGGCATTTTTCTAAATTCATGGTACAATTTATTCGCGTTTGTCGTTGTGGACGACAGCTGAGGTGAAAATAAAAAATTAAAAAAACTTTAGTTTCGTAATCGTAATCAGAATATTAATATAGTCATATTGGCTGATAATTGTCATTTTCGTGTAGGCTGCACTGTTTAGATGATAGTTTTGCTAGAGAGTTGTAGAAATGTAATTGAATCTCACAGACTTTTTAACGGTAGTTTTGATCCTGTCAAGAGCTATGCTTGGGAAGATAATCTAAGCAATATGTATATGACCATATTGCCGCTTGTTATACTCATTTTACTCTCATTTCTTTCAATTGCTTCCATGAACTAGTTTCACATTTGGATGAATCCGTTGGTTTGCCCTTTACATTAACAGTTTTTCAACAATTTTTCTTGCCTTTTTGGTTCGATATCAATTCATTTTGTTAATAAATGCTTCATTTCAATTAGAAATCTAGTTAGAAATCTCATGTAAAGTTACTTAAGCAATTGACAAAAAGTGACTGTAAAAGTTCGAGAGGCCCCTAAAAGCAGGCTTTTTTGAAATCTGGCTTTTTTTTATTTATTTTACCTACCACTTCATTTTTTTTCTTCTTATTATTGCAATTAAAGATACAAGTCCGGATTTCTTTCGATATTTGAGTATACGCTATTTTCTAAAATATTTCACAGATCTTTGCTTTTTGTCTCTTTCTGAATGAGTGACAATCCTTCTTTAATTTTTTTTTGAATAACATTGTTGCTTTAAATTTAAAGTCACAAATGAGGTTCACCTGTACTACTGGCTTTTACTCTCAAGTGGCTTTGTGGTGAAAATATATGTTAATCGGAAATTGATAATCGATCTCTAAAATGATTTGTTGTGTTTAGATTAAATTTTAAAAAATTATTTGGGCTGTTGATTATCATTTTTTTTCACAATTATCCAATTTTCCCCACAAAACTTTATTTTTCAAATTCTTATCAAATTTTTTAGCTCATAAAAATACCTTTTATTCAGTTTATAATCACAAGTTTAGATAAATTTAGACGGATCCAAACGGTGATTTAATTGTTCATATATTTTGAATTATTTGAATAACTTTTTTGTTGATTTTTTTTACGATATGAAATTTCTTTTATTTCTTTATTCCTTTCATTACATTGGTTTATTTCTATTTGTTTGGAAAATTTTTTGCATTTGACTTTTTTTTGCAGGAAAAAACCCATAGAAGTTGCAAAAATGCGTTGAGCCATGCAAATGCGAATTACTATCGTTGTATTGTTCAAACTGTCGTTCGGCTTTATTAATCAGAAGCGGAATTTTAATGATAAAGCTATTATTCCCGTCGGTTAGTTCCTATTTTCAGGATATTTATAGATCAGAGCTGCTGCCTCATCAATCATCATGTTCTTTATCAGTAACATAATTTATAAATAAAAAAAATCTTCAATCAATTTGAATTTTCTCATTTAACCAATACTACGGAACACCAACCTATAATCGTTGGTTCTGAACAATGTTCATGCGTGTTGATTTAGACTATTAATAATGATTTTCAAATTAAAAAACTATTTTGCGTGAATTCACCCACATTTTTATAGGGTTTTTGCAAAATTAAAAAGCCCAGTAAAGCTGCAAAAAATAGCCAATTACATCAAATCTTTAAAAATTTAATTAAAAAATTTAATTAATTTAATTTTGATTAAGCAATCATCGGTTTAAGATAATAGCGCCGCTTACTATTTTTGGCCAGGCTAACTTATTAGTTGGCTGTTAGCTCGGTAAGAAGTGAGCAGATTTTAATTAATTGCTCAATTCTTTCAAGCTTCATTATTTTTATTCATTCATTATTCATTCATTAATTAAATATTATATATTCATTATTTAAATATTATTTTTTGAAATTTTATGTAAAATTTCGATTTTGCGGGGGAACAGCATAAAAATTTTTGCCATATTTTTAATTTCTTGCAGTAATTACGAGATTTAAAAAAAAATATTAAAAATTTTCGTTTTATTTAGCAAGAGACAATTTATTTTTTCATTCCTTATGGTCAAAGAATATTAAACATCACCTTTTCGGTATTCTTTTTCCTACTAAGCCAATACTTAGTAGTCACACGCATCGTTCTCTCAAACATGTTCAATTTGTATTTTAACATCATACTTTACAGGATAGAACTAATTTATTCTCAGTATTTATAGGCTCCTAAAATTGACTCCTAATCATGTATCATCTGTATTTTACGTTTAAACGTTAATATATAATGCGATTTTCGTTTAAATAACAAAAATTTTGGGTCATTTTAATGAATTGTTAAATAAGTCGGTGTTCAGAACCTAGTTGTTAATTAAATTAGTTCGCAAAAATCATTTCGCGATCGAATAATGGTATATAAACCATTTCGCTGAATGTATCATATATTACATTATAATATTACATTATAACTTAATTAACCTACGAAAATGAAAAAAACATATGTGATTTTGGCAGTTTTTAGTATGACTTAATAATACTTCACAAAAATTTTTTTTCTGCACCTTGATCAATTCAAAAATTATTTCAGTATTTTAATATTTTGAAATTTTTATGAAATTATATACTTAAAAAAAGCAGCGAGACTATTTTTCTATCGTTCAGCCACGACCCTTCTTTATCATATGTCATCGTGCTAAATTGATTTGATAAAAAATGGCACTGTAATCTTTCTTAAGTTAATTTTATTATCATCTAATCAATTAAAATTTGTACCTAAAAAATTAAATAAGCACAATAATTAAGTCAAAACAATACTAGAAGCAAGAATTAGTACAATTCATACAGTTTTGCTAGTTTAAATGTAAAATTATTCGCAAAATTATTGAGAAGAGATGTGTCGAAGTCTTGATAATTTCTTACTTTTAAAAATTATCGGAAGAAGCAATTTTATGGATCATTAGGATCATATATGTTTCTCAAACGTCTGACATTTCATTTTTTTTGTTTTATGTAAGAATAATGATGGAATTTTCTCGCAAAAATTTTTTAAATTTAAATTTTTTAAATTTCTAATTATTCATTGATATTTTCTTTTAGATTCATCTGTGCTTCGTTTCGGAAATTCATCATCGGGACAACATTTCCGATTACTCGATCTTGATGGAAATTATCTATTGGTCGGAGCCAGGTAATAATTACCAGTGGTTTATCAAAATAGTTTAAAAAGTTGTTCATTTTTTCTTAGTTCTCACCATTTCTGGTTTGGCTAACTTCGCTGGTTGTTAAGATGGAATCCTTTCATCAGAAAATTGCTATTCTATCGGATATATTCTCAATGTCACTGAAATCCATTTTTGATTACACGTTTATCTCGACCATTCCGAGCTAAAATTCATTAAGATTATAATTTAAATTATGTTTATATAGTGGCTTAATATCGTAATGTGATGGATTGATAAAACTGAAAAGACTGGTTTTCTGCATTCTCCATTTTAAAATTGCAATAAATTTTCTTTATATCTGCTATATCTGCTGTAGTGGCGGAAAATATCAGCCAAATATATATTAAATATATGTTGTAAAAATGTGTGATATTTTTTCATTAATAATTTTTGCCACTCCTTTATTTTATTTCCATTTACCTGGAAAAGATCATAGGAACTGCTAAAAAATCCTAAGAAAAAGATAGATTCATCCTTAAGACATCCTTGAGGGAAAATTTTAAATTGAGATCATGCATAGATAATTACTATAACAATAATAATATTAATAACAATAACTATATGATTCAGTATGGTGATTTAATTCAGCATGATGAAGTATGGTAATTTGATCATTTGATTGCCGGATTCAAAACTGTGTCAATTATTATTTGATTTTAGTAACGATATCATCATTCTTCGTTTAGTAATGCCTAATTTGCAAACCATAAAATCATATATATATATATGTATCCTATTCACTCATTTTTGTCTCCATTTGACCTCATGACCCAAATAAAAAAATTTATTTATTTGTTCCTATGCATAAGAAGTGGGAAGAAAGGATAGTTTGGATTATTTAAGTAATACTACTTAATAATAAATGAAATATATATTTTTATAAAGTGACTGCTGTGAAATTTATATTCTGCAAGATGGAGGGTGATTCTGTTTTTTGAGTTTTTTTAAATAATAAGACTAATAAAATAGGCTATTAACAACTTAATAATAATTTTGTTTTAAATCAGATTTTCTTTTAAGATCATGCAAGATCTTATATTAAGTGGGCGGCTTTTGGCCAGAGTCGTCAAATAACCATTCAATGCCATCCTATAAAAATTTCGAAGAGAAGCGAAAAAAAGGAAATAAATTCGCTCAAAGTTTATAAAAACTGGTTATATGGCGAATACATCTTTGGCTTTATCTTCCAATTTTGCATTAATTTGCTTCACTTCAGTTCCTTTTACTGAGAAAAATAAAATTTTCGAATAAAAAATGCGAAAAAAATTAGAAACGAATTTCTTCAACAATATTCAGAATAAATTTGCAAAGCTTAGTCGAATGTGATGCAATGATGTCAACATATTTAGAATATCAAAATCATTTGGTAATAATGAATAATAATAGTCAGATGGGCTGAACAAAGTGAACTCGAAAGAAAATGAAGTTCTGAAATTCATTCCCACCTTCGCTTATAGTAAGATTTATGGTAGTTTGTAGACGCTTTTAGGACAATACGAAAAAATAAGAATGTCACCTATCTGATTGTAAGAAAGCACTGGAAATTCAAGGACAAAAAGGTGTGAGAAAATTCATAAAAAACATGGTTAAACTTGGTGGTTTTTTTATAAATTTGGCTTTGGAAGAGAATAATGAATAATTTAAATAATTTCAAAATAATTTAAATATTAAATCAGTTTAAATAATTTCAAAATGTCTTTGATAAGATTCGATTTTAGCATTTTTTTAAACGCATTTCTATGATAAATTAAAAAATTCTCATTTTTCTAACAGCTCTAAATATTTATGAGATTCAACGAATCAATTGAGGATAGATGGACTCCATCGGGACCTCACTTTTATTCTTATTCCACTTGATTAACGGATATTCATTTATTTATGCAAAGAGACCAATTACACGGTTGTAGTGCCATTGTTTGTTGCAAAAGGATAAAATAAACCAAAATCGAATGATAATACCAACAACATCGGCTAATTATTTCATAAATAATCAATTTGAAGAGAAGAAAGCCAGTTCTTTTTTTTAATTCTGATATTTTAAAATATTTCTCGTAATTATCACATCATTATTATTGCAGAGATATTGTATATAATATCAGTATCGAGAGTTTTGTTGAAGTACAATGGATAAAATGGCCATCGCAAGACAATGTGGTTAAGGAGTGCCTTATGAAAGGCAAACCAAAGGTAATTTTTCATAGAAATTTTTTTCTGTACAGTTTTTCTCCAGTCTAATTAATTTCTTATATGAATATGTATATGAATGAATGGATCTATTTTATGATACAGACAAAATAAAAAAGGAGCTAGAAGGAAGTAGTAATTGCAATGTTTTATTAAATTACTCCTATTGCTATTTAGAGAATAAATTCTCGACCATGGAAGTATTTTTTTTTCTTTTTATACGGGAAAAATTTTTTTCGAACCCTGCGAACTTCGGACTATTTTTTTGAAAATACTTGATCAAGACCATTTCGTTGTTGCGTAAAATGAACTTTATGACTATTGCTGAAGTTTCATTGTGAAATTTTTTTCACCATAACCTGAACTCGTTTCATGGTGTTTTTTTTTTGAACCTTGGACCGCATAGCAAAAGGTCAACCTTGTATTATCCTAGTTAATATCTATAAGATGACCTATAATGGTTTCGATGACCTTGCTTTTATAATCGACACTGAAATAGATAATTTTCCAATAATAATAATCATTCAATGCACATTTCACGAGGAGAAAAATCAAGCGATTTTTGACTTTTATTGTCGCAAATCGAAATAAAAATCAAATTTAAATTGATATAGAACATAAAAATTTTTGTATATTCGTTTAGTCTCCATTCGAATTGAAATGTTTTAAAAGAGTTCTGGTGACAACCAACTTATGTTTATGTCGCGAACCATAGTAAAAATTTTTAACCGCACTAAGAAAATAGAGCTAACTTAACCAGAAATTGTGAATGTTAATCCACTTACTCATATATTTGAGTAAATGAAGACAGAGTTTATTATTTTAAGAAAGAATTTAACCAAGAAAAGAAAACGCAACAGGCAAAAATTCACGAATGAGACAAGTTTTATTTTAGATTGTCATTTTAATTGCTATTCATTGGCTTGTTTCATGAGTTTGTTCGTGGAAATGCATAAAAAATTTGGGAAAGAATTAGTAATGGAATTAGTAATCATAGGCAAACATTGATCTCTTTATTATCGGTACGTGAGATTGTAAGCAGAATAATCGTATAGTTTGTGAAAATTAGAAACAAGTGGGAATTAATTTTTTTTCATTATGAAATTTAAATTATAATTTTAATTTAAAACTTCCTGCCAATGTCTGCCACTTCATTTAATTTAATTTACCTTTTTTACCTTTTTTTAATTTACCTTTTTTAAATTTACCTTTTTTGTATTCAGTTGCTAGCTTTCTTAGTTTTAGTTTATAGACAGAAATTTGAGATTTTAAACATAAGTGCAGTTTGAGAACAAATAGACTTTGAAAGCTGTGTGCCGATTCTGGATATATGTAGAATTATACGTATTAAACCCAAGAAAATCTAATAAAGGCAAAATAGAAAATCGGGAAAGTTTGTCTTTCATGAATCATTAATGTAATGAAAATATCAAATCAACTGAAAGTTTCATATTGCGCTATTATGGATTCTTAACTTTTCAGATTCAGTGTCACAACTACATTCGTGTGTTGGCAAAAAATTCGAATTCAAAAATTTTGATTTGTGGGACAAATGCTTTTAAACCAATGTGTAGGATGTATGAGCGAGAAAAATTTAGTGGTTATCGACTTGATTTTGAATTCTCCGGTCTTGGAATCGCTCCATACGATCCAGATCACAATTCCACCTTTCTGCTGGATAATGATTTGCTGTATGCAGGCACAGGTAGTCATTATATATGAAATCATGAGTTATGTTATGCATAACTATTGTACTACTGTCTCTGAAAGCGTCTAGTTGTACAAGGCTAAAATGCAGAAAATGCATGCCAATGGATTCTTATCGGATAATTAGAAAAAATCTCAAGATTTTTTTCTTTTAAATAATTTCTATAACCAGTGTTTATGTGTTATTTATGAAAATATTCGTAAAAACTGGTATAAGCGATTGCCATTAAAAAAGTCAAATTGTGAAGGATATGAGAATGGAAACCAACGCTTAAGAAATGTAAAGAATTAAAATGTTTTAAAAATGTTTTGGAAAAATGAAAAATAGAAAGAAAATTATTTTAAATTATTAAATTACATAAAATTATTTTTTTTCATCTCCCTTCATTGAATTGATTAAAATTATATAAGTAATGAAATATAAAATATAAATAGATTATCATACAATTTTTATATTTATGATGAAATATAAATATAAATAAGTCAGTTTACCAGTCAGCACTCATCATTTCTGTTAAATTCGATCCACTGGTTTCAGCGATTACAGGTTTAGTTCATGTCATTGTCGCTGTCAGAGATTGTCAAAGAGCTACTATGACCAATTATAGATAAGGCCACTGCACCAAGAAAGTTTTCTAATGGCAAGTTTGCGCCTGTTAGAACAGAGGCTGAACTATAATGCTTGAAATGATTATCTAAGCAACAGATAACTCGTTACCATCCATAAACTATTCGCCTTTTCTTAATTTCTTATTCTCGAACTATTCTCGAATAGTTTGAATATTAAATATTAGATCAAATGATAAAAATATAGAAAAAGAAGAGAAAAAGTAGAAAATAAACATTTTTTCAACAAATTTATATTTCCAGGTCATTTCAAGAAAAAAATCTTATTTTCTCAAAGGCTGCCGTTACATTAAAGTAGAAATTAACTTCCAAACATATTGACATTTCCACTATAATAAAGAATGAATTAATCTTTTTATCGATAATTTTTATTATTATAAATTTTTATAATTTTTACAATTTCTTAATTGTTTATTCGTTTATTTATAAGCTTACGAAAATTCTTACATCGATCAAATCAGTTTTAATTATAAATTATTTCTCCCATCTCGAATGACCTTGATGGAGTGAAATATTACTATTGGCTTAGTCGAAGCTGAAGCAATTTTTTCGATACAAGAATTATCGAAATAAAATGTAGAAGAATCTTTTTATCATTGAGCAAATGAATTATAGTTTGAATTTTCATAGGTAAATGGTAGGTTGAAAAATGAACTTCTAACAGGACTCAGCATCATTTTTTCTGCGTCTTGGCGAAGATAGACGTTAGCACTGAACGAATCTAGATGGTGCTAAAGTAGCGTTATTCTCTTCTATTCTACTAATTTTTTTAATTCATGATTCTCGCAACAGTTTTATGAAATTTTATATATTGAAAAGTTTCTTCCACTTTAGTGTCCGATTTTACCGGAGCTGATCCACTAATCCATCGACGGAATGTGACCAATGTGAATGATCGAGGAATTCGAACTGAACGCAACGACATTAAGTATTTAAATGAACCTCAGTTTGTCGGCATCTTCAAAGACAACAAGGTAATTTAATATTTTGTTTTGAACAAGTTTAAAACAAAGGGCACATCAGGATGAGAATAAAGAATAAATCGTTTACAAAATTTTTCAAAATTTTTCAAAAAATCGTTTCAGGAAAGAAAAAGAGGAGCAGATTTCTTAAATATTGTAAAAAGTACCTTAGCCCGGAAATTTTATATTTTTGTGTACAAAATAATTTAATTTGTGGTAACAGTGATAATTTAATTCGCAGGTAGTCATGCTACAACAGTAGTTTCGACCATTATAACAGCCATTTTTGATGAATTTTTTTTGATTTTGCTCGACAATAACTCATCACTACATTGTAGAATTATTCTTGTACTTTAAAACTAAAAACAACTTTTATTCGATGGTCATTTTAGGAGCGGTTGTTGTCAAAAAACTTCATAAAATTAGTCGTGTTAGTCGAAATCAAAAATTTTTAAAAAATTTTGATTTAAACAAATTAAAACGCCAGTTAGCATCACAGATGACACCTTGAATTGACCCTCATCTTCTAAAAACACTAATCATTTCTGGTTTGGAATTCTGGTTCTACTGACTGCTAGGCTAAAAATCTTTCTCTTGAGGGCCATTTGGTGATAGAAGTGAATATGAGTCCCAGTACTAAGCGAATTTCAACTCTTTTGTTTTCATATAATCTCATATAATTTATATGGTCTTTATATAATTTTTTTTTTAAACAGCTTCCCGTTTCATTAGGTGAAACGAAAAAATTGGGCTATAAAGTAACAGGGAGAACTAAAGATTGAACTTGTGTCGTTTAGAGATGAAAAGATTTTAGCGAATAGAGTCGGATTTCTAGAAACTGCGGAAGTTCTCTACTGAGGCTAAATATTCGCAAATAATTCTCAAAAAAACAATTATCCACCGAATCAGAAAATCTGGACGATTAGGATAATCCATAACCAATAAATATATAGTAATATTGCTATTAGTTTTTTAACCGATAAGGACGCGATAAAGTAGCCAGGAATAAGGGGATCTGAAGCAGAAAGATAGGTTCTTTGATTTGTCATACCTCGACGAAACACTCATTGCATAATTATGAAGTTAATTCTATTAATCTGTTTCAATTGCAAAACTGAAATCGAATTTTTTGGATTTTCAATTTTCAATAACCAAAGTTGGATGGCAGTAATAGTTGACATAGCTTATTTATGCAGAAATTTCTTAAAAATAACTAAGTGAGTGGTAAGAGCAGCGATTCCGGTTTACTACTCATTGAACGAAAAAATTCCTCAAAGGATATAGTACCATGCATGTTGCACAAATTGAATAAATTGTGCGGCGAAGTGGAAAATTATCTAAATTAACGTCATCTTAGTTATTTTGCTGAGTGTTGCTCACGTGCAATTTAAATCATCCAGTCTAATAACCGCTTCGCTAATTGCATGATATCATTAGAATAACAATTACAGTCGCCCATGGCATTTTTATTAAGTGAAAATATTAAGTGAGAGTTGCTTCAAATCCATAATTTAATTACCAATTTGTCTATCAATAACTGGAAGTATTACAATTGTTTATCTCATCTTACATTACAAGGCAGGCATTCGTTTATTATTAATTCTATGATAAAATATATTTATTTATCGGAAAGAAAAATTTGGAATCATAAAAATGTCGCTCATAGTTTTTTAATGCTTTGAAGGCTTAGATCTCTCATTTTTTTCATCAGGCCTTCCGTAACTTCATAACTTCCATAATTTCATTAGTTTTGCAAAGCCAGACATTCATTTCAGCATGTGTATATATGGCTAAGAGAACAAGCTGTGCAATATGAGAACTGCGCTAAAGCCATTCATTCACGAGTGGTGAGGCTTTGTCGGTCAGATAACGGTGGTCCACAATTGTACGCTAACGAATGGACGTCGTTTGTGAAAGCAACGTTAAATTGCTCTGTTCCAGGCGATTATCCGTTTTATTTCGACCAGGTTATCGATATTTTAATGAATACCGAAAACTCGAAATTTTTCCTGACGATAATAATTATTTCTTCGCCTTTTTTTCATCTTTCATCTTTTCATCTTTAAGATCGAAGCAATAACAGTAGTACCATACAGTAAAGAACAAGCTTCAACGTCAGTGGTCTATGCGGTATTCAGAAGTCCATTAGCGGGGATAAGTTCATCTGCTATATGCGTTTTCAACTTAACACATATGTCAGATGTTTTTGAAAACTCAACATATGGTCGAAGTGATTCGACATCACGACAATTGTCTGAGGAAACCTTGAAATTTAGGCCCGGTACCATTTAATTCTTTGCATATTTTATTGGATCTATTATTTTCGTCATTTGGAAGTTTAATAATATTTTTTAAGGAAAATGCGCAAATGATTCCCGCTCGCTCAAGGAAAATATGATCGCGTCATTAAGAGCCAATCTAATTTTAGATGATTCAATTCAAAATCATTTTAATTCGCCTATTTCGATTTATTCAGGTTCAGATCGTTTCACCCAAATAGCTGTAGATCCTCAGGTTTATTTTTTATAGCACATCAATTGCTGATAAGAATATAATCTGATAATTACAACTATAATTTTTTTTTGATTTATATATGTTTATTTAATGCTTTCCTTTAAAATTATCAGAACTGTGAAACAGTGAGTTCCAATTCTATTTGGTTAGTACGAAATCTTAAATAAATTCTAGGTGCTAGCACTAGATGGACATTGCTATGATGTAATATTTATTGGCACCGATGGGGGTAATATTTTAAAAATCGTCAATCTAGCTGGTATCAGCGATGTAAAAATGCAAACTTCTTATCATATTTATACTGTGGAGACTATGAATGTTAGTTATTTTGTTAAAAAATATTTTTTTTCAACCGGGACAACTCCTCAAGAGCTAACTGGATGTGAATAGGTTATTTCTGCTCAGCAACTGTGGTTGCAATACTGCAAGAGGTAACGAAATGTGAGTTTGAAGAAATTTGATTCATTGAGTTAGAGAAATTTAATCATTTCCACAATAAAATAGCAAAAACAAAAAAGATTTATTGTTTTATTATTTTTTTTATCTGCAAGAAGAAATATTCCACAATGAAATTGTAGTTTATTAATGTTGCCTTTTCTCTTTAAAAAGGCTGAACTTTTTTTTAAGAGAAAGGCTTTAATTAATTCAGGCGCCGATAAGGAATTTAATGCTTTATCATGCAAATTCTGGCTATGTTGATGACCACTATTTGATTGTTGTTAGCGATAATACAGTATGGCGTATACCGATCGCATACTGTGGCAGATCTCATTCATGCGCAGATTGTATTTCATTACGGGATCCCCACTGTGCTTGGGACTCACAATTAGAACAATGTGTTGTTGTTAATGAACACTCTGGGTAATTTTTTTCCTCATATCGATTTACCATTACTTCCCTCTCAGCATTGATCCTGTTGGTAAGTTGGTAAGCTTTTTATTTGATTTTTTATTTGATTTTTCAAAAATGTGGGAGAATCGAATAAATTCGGATTAAAAAGTAACCTTGAAGTCATGAAAATCCATCTGATTTTAAAATCTTTTCTTTTAATCATTCCTGATAGAATTGCGCTGCTTGATCTATCGGTAATTATGACATGGCATAAAGCCTAATTCGTCTAAAGGATAATTTCACATTCATGGCTCATTGTCATTGTGGTCTATATATCCCGTGTATAAAGTCAAATATGCAAAATATGTGAATTATAAAATGAATTAAAAATAAGGATTATAAATAAGATTATAAATAAATAAAAAATGATCAGTTACCATATAATCATAAAGGTGAATACGGAAATAATCGAATAACTTTATAGGCACTATAAACAAAATATTCTTGAAGGTCATAGCGACGAAATTTGTCTTGATGCATCTTTTAGCCGAGTTTTGTCTCCTGAAAAGGGTAATAAATTTGATTATACTATTAGATAGTTATTTCCACTATTAATGATGGAAACAATAAGTCATCCCATGACAGTATGAAATATTAAACGCATGGGATTTTAACAAAAATTTAATTTTTTCAGAAGAAACTACAGTTAAGTATGGTGAGATTTGCTTATGTGAGGACAAGAAACCTCCGGAACTGTGCGCAATGGCTGGTACGGCTTTCTCAAAAATTTCAACAGGTGATCAAATGAGACTTTTAGGTTTATTTTAAGTGCAATAAGGTTCTTTCAACTTTTCGTTTTTCTTCATGAAAAAACGAAAACGAGAATTTGATATTGCAAACACCTGTCCCACACTTGTTTCACATATATTTTGAATGCAAAAGTATGCATGATTGTCTAATCACTTAAGTGCAATTCATATTCTTTTACAGAAACATTAAAAATAAGACCCACCCAAGTGATTCTTGAGTTCTCATCCTGATAGCCAATGCAGTCTAAACCAGAACGATAAGTGCCGTTGGAAAAATGAAAAAGAAAATAATAAAAAAACTGAAATATTCCTACTGAAATTACTACTAATGAAATCAAAAAAATTAGTTTTGCTTAAAAATATGAAGTTTAATAGAAAAAGGGAAGAGTGACAGTTAAATGTGTCGAATTCTAAGAATCACTTAGGCGGTGTCATTTTAGAATCGAAATCATTTAAATTTCCGGTGGATTTGCTAAATCATTGTAATTCACCTTTCGTCTTTATACAGCACAAGGCATTTCAATATGTTACGATAAAAACTTTTTTTATTTTTCTGTAGGAAATAAATGATAAATTAAAGATCAGCGAGAGGGACGATAAAATCTTTCGAAGAAACCAAATTCCATGTAAAACGAGTGTAATTAGATCGAATGACTTGATATAAGAAAAGGAGACAAGCAAGGGAAAGGCAAAAAATATTTTAAAAAATACTATGAAGATAGAAAAAATAATTGCCAAAGGGAAAATAAAAATTTTTTCTAAAAGGTGTGAACCTGTTACACTATAAGCTACGTCCGGATTTTTAAATTCTGCAAATTTATGCTGGAAAATTATATCGGTATAAGCATCGGTTAGTATTGGAGGGTCACCTTTATTTCCATCTCGAGCCATTCTCTGACGAAAGAGTCTCATCCTAATAACCATTACAGCCAGCCAAACTGGAAATTGGAAATGGTGAAAAATTTTAGAAGAATGAAGAATGTAAAAGCATCATTAAATATTAAATTATATTAAATATTAAATTTTTTCTATATATTTTTACACATGAATTTTTTCATTATTATTCAATAAATTAATAAAGTATATTCAATAAAGTATATCTCAGATCTGGCTGATGAAACAAATGGAATTAGAATGGGTCAAAAATTTTGGTTTATTGAAACGGGGAACTGCCAATTATTTATGGGTAAGAAATCAAATGAGCGTAAAATTGGTTCCAGAATCTGCCCGATCAACGCTGAGCGACCGGAATAGTATCATTTTCTTATGTATCGGTGTCGCTGTATTAGCTTTATTGTTCGGCTTTTTAATGGGATCGTTATATTCATGTTGGAAAATGCCGCCAAAGGATCAGGTTTCACCTTGCGGATCGTTTCGACAACCTCCTCAACCTGTATATAATGGCAATAATATGCCACAGTATTTAGTGAATTCTTCAAATAACGTTATAAATGCTTATGAAATGACTCCGAAATTTTTGGGAAGGAATTCGCGAGATGGAACTCCAGTTTCATTAACGGTTTGTGTTTTTTTTGGCTAATTATTATTCTATCATTTGTTGAATGTTGAATGAAAAAATTTTGTGCTCAATTATTAAAAATATCGTAAGTGAACAAAATATTAAAAAAATTACAAGCAAAGAATGACGTATAATGTACAATGAGAGTGGAAGATATTAATAAGCTATTAGCCTTTGACCATTCATGTCTAAAGTACATTTTACGGATCCGCCGACTAGATAAAATTGCAAATGATTGTATCCATCTTCGCTCAAATACCACCTGTATTAATATGGTTAGGGCATGTTCTTCGCGTCCACCACAGGAGTTGACGCATATTTCACTTGTTAAGCCTGTGATGGTTGGCGGCGAGGAGAAACATTCAAGACCTGAACTGATACAATCAGGAAAGATTTTGAACATATAGTTGGACCAGCAATATATGGACTTAGGCGATGGAAAAAAGAATGGCTTCTATTTCTACTAGCAATGGCGTCAGACGTGGAGACGTCTTACCCAGCGAAGCCAGCCTAACCAGTAATAGTGAGAGCTGTTAGAAGAAGAAGATGTACTTGTAAAATCCTTTTAAAGCCATTGGCCGATGCAAGAAAAAAGCAACACCTTGAGGTAATTTCTTCCAGTAGTTGAAATTCAGGACGTTGGTCATAAATAGGCTTACTTAATCCATTATGCTTCAAGTAACATTCTAGAAGAAACATCATACTTGATGAAAGCACATTTGACAAATTTGTTAAAATTGAATGATAACTCTAAGTAGAAAAGTTTTTTTTTTGGAAAGTTGTTGAATGTATTTAATACATATTTCCGATGGGGTTTACCACTGAAAATAATGTTAAGAACTAAAAAAAATTCATGTTAAAACTAATATAAATAAAAATATTATAATTCTACTTTAATTTTTTCATGTATTTTTTTTTAAAGAGTCCTCACCATTACTGGTTAAACTCGCTCCACTGGCTTGTCGCATTAGGCAATATGCCAGAGAGCCCCTTGGCGATAGAAATACAGGTGAGTCGCCAGCACCACCCGGATTTTTTACTCCTGCAGAGAATGGAACCTTACCACCGGCGCCCTCAATTGAGCAACAACTCACTGAGCCATTCTATCCCTAATATATGAAGATTAAAAATATTAAAAAGTAAAAAATTAAATAAAAAATAAAAAATTAAATGAAAACTTTCCTTTCAAGTGGAGATGAATAAGCGAGTAAAATAAGTGGTTAACACTTCTTCTTCTAACAGTTCTGGGACTGTTAGGCTGGCTGTCCTGGCTATAAGGGTAAGATGTCCTCAACCAAGCTGCTCAGCCCCACGCCATAGTAGTCATAGAAGCCACTCCTTTTTTTGGTTAGCGCTTACCATTTTTAATTCAATTGGCGGTTAAAAATTTTTGCTAGAAGGTTGACTGAAAACATATATGGGTTGCGAACATCATTCAGGGTTTTTTCGGGATAGATTTACCTCTGTTGGAGATGACAATCGCGCATTTTCCTTTCAACATGGTTATCACTACACCATTCCTTGCTTTACCCCGTCTCCACTGAAATAATCGACAATTTTTTTCTTCATCTTAATATGAATTTTCAGGTGGAGGAATTAACGAGGCCAAATGGTAAAATAGAATGGGGAATATCGACATTGCCAAAAAACTATCGAGTAAAACAAGTATACTTGTAAAACCTTGTAAATTTTTTTGTCCTCGTCACTGGCACCTTGTTTCGTGTGAACCTTTAAATTTCAGGCCAAATTGGGGAAAAATCTCTAATTTAGTAGAAAAAGTGAAAATAATAATGAAAACGAGTAAATAAATCTCAATCTCTTCATATTTTATCTACAAAATACATCTCATTCTCGAAATATAAAAAACTATTGTTATTTGGTTCTCATTTTTATTTTTCCATTGTTTGCCACCTTGCAGGAATCGCGTTTGCCACCTTTTTTCACTTAAGCAGCTTATTAAATTGAGATCAGACCCAACGGTTGCCTGTATTATTGTTAAGAATGAATCGCGCGGCTGCAAGAATTTTTATTTTTATAATGTGGTGTGCCATGTGGTTATATTTCCTGCTGCACTTGTGTCCGCTGTCCATTTTGGATTCCTTCACACCTGCGTTTTTTTTTCATCTTTCTGATCTAATTTGACTTCTAACTTCTAACTTCTGACGAACATAGAAAAAGAGCGCAAAGGAATCATTAGAGTTGGCCTCATTCTGAAAAACTCTCCCGTTTTATTCATATCTTTATTTGTATCTATATTGCGTAATGTATATAAATGCTACTGTTTTTTAAGCTTTTTTATCATCAGTGTTGTGATAATGCGTTTGTGCTTTTTAACGGTACCATAAAACCATAAAATTTATTAAAAAATATTCTCGAAATCATATGGAAATAATCCATATAAACATATGAAAAAATTAATGGGGCAATAAAGAACCTATTTCTTCAACAAAATCTCAGCGAAAGATAGAAAACCCTGCCCAGCATTGAATAAAAAAAGAATGATAATAAAGTGAAAAGCGAGCTTTAATCCTAAAAGGTATTTTACATGCATGTTTTTTTTTGTTAAATAAGCATATATATGGTGGATGTAATAAAAAATAGATCCACAAAGATGGAAGCAGATGGTTCACAGTTTTTGGTTAGGCTCCTCACTCTGGTTATTAGTAGGGATGGGATAATTTCGTTAAGAAATCACATGGCGATATAGATATAGGTCTCAGAATTACCCAGATTTTTTACTGACTTCTAAAGGCAGAATTGAATTAAAAGCAATTGATACCAACAATTTCTGCAAAAAAATTTTAGTTTTTTTGTGAAGATTGAGATGTATGGATCTCACTGCGCGAAGAAAATCCAAGAAAAAGAAACTAGGCGAAGGGTGTGTAAAGACAAAAAATGGAAGCATTATTATCTAAATAGATGACTTTGGAAAAATACAAACATGAAAAGCGGGATTCGTTGGAAATAAAAATAAAATAGTGTCAATTATCAATTTATTATTAAAGCAAGTTTTCGTATGATAATTTAAATGAGAAGATCATGAATCACATAATGAAGATAAACTGCAGAAAATAAAAGAAAAAATCTAAGGCCATTGAATGTGATAAAAAGAAAAAATAAATAGGCAAAGGCTACCACCCTTGGTTAGGCTCATTCCTTTCTCACTTGATACAGCGAGAAATTTCAGCTAAAAAGCCACTAGGGGAAGTCAAGTGGGTTACCGGCACCATACAGGTTTTTCTGGTAATATGTTTACTTGTCGAAGGCAAAATATGGACGTTGAGATTTATCTAACCAATTAAACTCAGTACACAGTATTGTTGGTTAAACTCGCTCCGCTGGTTTGTAAGATTGATTGATGTCAAAAAATATACCAGGGAGTCTTTTGACGACAGAAATACAGGTGAGTCGCCAGCATCGCCTGATTAATCAATCAAACGGATTGGAACAAAAAAAAAAATTGCACTGATTTCTTGTACATCTCATATTAATCATAAATCAAATTTAAAAAATTTTCAGACTATTTTTTTTCGAAATACTTGAAAAAATAAAAAGTTAAGTGGCGTTAGATGAAGTTTTCGTCTATTTGCTCGATTTCTCGCTCAGCTGAGGAAGCCTTCAAACGATTTTTTGGAGTTTTCTCGCCAATTTGTTCTGCGAAAAGCTTCATTTTATCACGGAAACCAAGATTAGCTCGATCAATCTAAAAATAATTCATTTTTGCATAAATTTCAATTTCCTAAGGTCTATTTTTAATTCTAATCAAAAACAAAGATCGGCAAAACAATTTATAACCGTTCATAGCCTCAAATAATCATTAATCATTATATTATATTATATCATTAAATAATCATTAATAATTTATACTAATTAATATACTTGTGATTGTGCTGTATTCTGTTTCGCCAGAATTTCTATTAAACGACGCTGCCGTGGATCGCGATAGACTTCTTGCTTTCCTAGTATCTAAACAAGCAATACATTTGAAATAGATCCAAATTAAAATAAGCTAAATAAGCTACAATCTGAAATAAATATGATTTAATTCAACTTGAACTCTCGGTTCATTAATTTCTTCATCGATGAAAGATTTGTTCCTTTCAGATGTTTCAACTTCAACTTTGTCCTCCCATTGAACACCTTTTTTTGTCTTTAAAGACTCATTTGCATTTGTCCTGAAACTCGAATTCTAAATAACAAGGTGTCAACCATAACCATTTATATATTCTATGACACCATAAAAAAGTAAAAAAAAGATGTCTTCAAAGGAGACCTTATTTGCGAACTCTTTATATCAAGTTCATCTATCTGATGCTTCCCTTCAATCATTTTGCTTATTCGATTTGATGCCTCATGGCAAATAACTGCAAGAACAAAAATTATCCCATCTGAATCCTTTTAAATTGGATCCAGTGATAACCAATTTATGCAATGATTTCTCTCCTCACTGACTTTTAATTCACCTTTTAATCAAAATTTAAGCAAAAATTGAAAATTACCTTTCTGTGTCGGAGAATTCGCATCCCAATTAGCTTTATTTGTTAATATAAGGTGTTCTGGTCGTTGAAGATGAATTGCAGGTGGTAAATCAGTTGGCGAACACGATGGGCTAACAGACCATTGTTGACTATGAACAGATTGCGAGCTAGATGAATTTGTCGGCCGAATCGAATCAATGGACGGTGATTGATTAGAAACTGACCAATTCAAAAACCGATTCACATCATCATTTACATTCGCATTCGTCTTTAAAGCAATCTGACTCGTTAAGTTATAATTCAAAGGTTCACGAATTCGAGCCAATTCGTTAACAAGCTGGCGATATAGCTTACGTTCTTGTTCTGTCATTGCAGCTCCTATTGCTTCTAGACGATCGAGCTGTTCATTCAACTCATCTCGCCTCTAAATTAAGAAATATATAAAATATAATATAATATAGATATAATATAATATAATATAATATAATATAGATATAATATAATATAGATATAATATAATAGAGATATAATATAATATAATATAGATATAATATAATATAATTTAAGGTAGAAAACAGTAAGCATAAGCATAAATATTTGCATAATTTTAACAATTCAAAAATTTCGAAAAAATGTTTTAAAAAACCACAGAAATTTACCGATGATGGAAAAAAAACTTGAGGCTCGGAAAAACAAACATCAGAAGAAGACTGCAACGAAGGAATATGAGGTGAAGTATGTTGTTGTAACTTGGTAACTGCTATAGAAGAATAAGGTGAGATCTGCCGCATAAAATCTGATAATCGAACTGAATCCTGAGGAGCAGTGAGCACTATTTGAGAACTGATGGAACTTGATGGGAAAAAGGAAGTTATTTTACACTCCGACGAAGAAAAAGATGCTTGTGCAGATGGCGAATTGATGGCACTCTGCTGTGCATCTGTGAAAAGTGTACTCTGAGGTTGTGCTATCAGTGGACCAGTATAAAAAGCGAAAGAATCACGACAAGAATGAAGCTCATGAGAATCCGCTGAATGTACAGATATATTCGAATGTTCACAATCTTCAATCAGAGGAAGATTAGCGTATTCGATTGTTGGTGATGAAAATGTAGCGCCCATTATAGAACTCTGATTTAACTGAATCAAAAGCAATGAAAAGGAAGGATAGTTAGGTAAAAAAAAATCAAGAAATTCTTAAGCAAGCTTTAACAAGAAAAACTTTAAAATAAGGACATAATTTTAAAATTTTCACTCAAAAAAAAATCATCCGTCTTATTAATTTTGTCAAAATCAGTATCAGTTTGAAAAGAAATTAAAGATAAAATCCATGAAGAGAAAAAAAACACTAGAAACAAATTAAAAAAAGAATACCGCAGATGGCGAACATTCCGAACAGGGAATTCTATCTGATGTTGTAGGTATTGATTGGTAAAACAGAGAAGGAGAATGATTATATCGAAAATCACGCGACAAAGGGCTTAGTCGAGATGGCGGCTGTACGATAACCGGGCGCACCATACCTTTCGGTATTATACCACGGTGATGACAAGCATTATTCGGCGTATTTGAAACAAATGTTGATGAGCTATTTTGTGGTGGTAAAGAACTTAACGATGTTGTAGATGCAACCTGCTACAAAAATATCCAATTTTCAATTTTAGAAGTATTAAAAATATTTATTTTTTCAATTTTACTGATAAGCTACAGAAATAGCTTTCAGATTAGCCAGTTGTTCATCTCTTTTCACCATTTAACTTTTGCTTTAAGCTTACATAACAAAAAATAGACAACCAACATGGTTCTGATAAAGTTCTGATGCTGATGCCGATCGAATTTCTTGTAGTTCAGAACCTAGGTCATTGTTATTGAATGGAGATGATATGCGAAGACCAGTTATACTGTTACCCAAATTAGAAGAATTCATATGACTGCCTCGATTCTTGAAAAAAATTTTTTCGTTAAGCTAAGTTATTCCATCTGATCAACAAACTAATAATTCGATTTATGTTTTATTTTAGATTATACGATCCAAAAGAACTACCACACTGTCACAATCTTTTTTGAAAATGGATATTGCAGAACCAAGTTTGGAAAACTTTTTTCTGAAAAATTTGCAGAAAAAGAAAAAAGAAAAATAACTTCGCAGCGAGTGGGATTCGCAGTGATCAGTTTATTATATTCATAACGATTCATGTCAGTTGAATTACTGAATTGATGTTGAATATGTGGTTCTAAAATTTAAAATAAAATTGAAAAAATTTACATCAAGTTTTTAATTTTCTTGAGTAGTTTAAGAAAGAGCATAGTATCATTAGTTAAACGATTTATTTTAGAAGGCATTAGTCTTCCGCTGGCAAAAAAAATAAAGAATACAAATAAAAATAAAAAAATAAGCAAAGAATAAATATAAGAAAAAATGAATTCCGCAACATTCAGCTCGATTTTACGTCGGTTCTTTTATAAATATAAAATAAATATATAATTTTATTTCATTCCAATAACTTTTGCAGAATCGATTTTATTTTTATAATCACATCTAATTGCTAACCAATTTATCAACACATTTTCCTAAAAAAATTATATAATAAATAGTAAAAAAAGGTCATACTTTTAATGTTGCCAAAATTATCGCCCAATGAAATAGAATAATCGGACCGATAGTTCGAAGTCTGAATCATGCATTAATAATAAAAATACTTAAATACAAAGAACTTCAAGAAATCCCAATAAATTTGCCACATTCCATATAAGATGGAATTAAACCACACTTTTTAAGGTTCTTATTCATTTTTTGAAAATCCTTATACTTTAAATAAAATTGATACCGTATTATAAGTAGGTTTTTCATCCTCATTCGCCAAACATTCAGAGAGCCCATTATAACGAGCTGCCTGCTTTTTTACTTTAAATGAAACCACAGGTCCAGCTGCTGTCATTTTTGCGGCCGCTCTTCAAATTTCCAATTTAGTAAATTTTTTTTTTGGTAAAATAATAAATAAATTTTTTTTTTCAAATGCGTTATTTGGTCGAATAAATTATAAAAAATTTTCTTTTAACATCCAATATTCTTTATTTATTTTAAAATAAGCAGAAGATCACCAGGCGAGCATCTAAAAAATTACAAAAAACTTTCAGGATATTAAAATTTAAATTTTGACAAAAACTTACTGTTCTTGACTAATTCCGATAAGCGACTGGTTATTAACTGATAACAACTGATCACCTGATTCAAGTCTTCCATCCTAAATGATAAAAAACTCACCATTGATCTCCGATTTTGCAAAAAACAAAACACTTTTAAAACATTTCAGATTCTTTCATTGATATTCTATTCTATTTTATTATCCTTATGTATTAACCTTAAAGAGCCTGCATCAAATTATAAATTCGAAATTCTTTTAAATGAAAATAACTTACACGTTGCGCTACTCCACCATCGACTACTTTTTTTACATAAATTCCAACCGTACGCTCACCTATTCCCTGAACCAAACAGAACATCATCTTGCAAATAATAATAATAATAATAATAATTAATAATAACAATAATAATAACAATAACAATATTTTCTGTCAAGATTATCAAGATAAATATTGTTGAAGAGAAATATTAAAAGGTCACCAAATCTTTTTATCTGCAACGCATTGTTGCAAAGGCTGAGAATAAAAACTGATTCACGATGTTCATAATAAAAAACAACTCAATAAATCGAATCCGATATTCTTTCATAATAAAAAACAACTCAATAAATCGAATCCGATATTCTATCTTCGATGATAAGAAAGAATAGATCAACATATCATATAAAATTATAGGATTTTACTCTTGTTCTAATTATTTTTAATGCATTTCCACACCGGCGAATCAGTATCATGTAGGACATCGCCATAAAACCATAAAATTTCACTGATACTAGAACTAAAATTTTCCCAATCTCCATCTATAGCGTTTGGAAATCTAATAATACTTGACATATGAAAAAATTGTGCGATAAAAATTCGATTAGAATATTTAAAAAAACGAAAGATGAAACTGATGAAGAACCAATCTATAGATTTTTAGCGATAAGAATGAAAATGTTCAACGGTTACATTATCATTAACATGATCAACGTCTTTTGATTAATCTGATGATATGAATTCAATTCTGTGAGATTGCAAATTTCTAAACAATACAATGCAACACTACAATCAACTGCCATCAAAAGAAAGTTTAAAATTCGAACAGAAAAAATTTTCCAAGTTATGTATTTGAGGGCTTCATTTAATTTTATAAGCATCTACAATGTAAAGAAATATATGAAAGAATTAGAATTAACTGGAATATGGAGCACCTTTCGCACACTTCCCTCTTTTTCATCATATCTATTTATGATTTATGATCTATTTATGATTTTCAGCGGTATGAAGGTTGTATAAAATTTTTCAAAAAAAGGTGCTCATACTGAAATGAAGCATAAAAATCTTGAAAAAACTAACTTGGGCAGCGACAATACTGAGACCAATCCCGCCATTACCACGATTGAAAGTAATATTCACGATCTCAGGAATGTAGTTCTAAAACAAGAATATAGTTCAAAAAAAAAAATTTGATTCGTGAAAAACTTTGAAGAAATCACAAAATCACAGAATCACAAAATTATTTTTGCAATCAGTAACTTCATCATATTCTTTTCAATATTCTTCATAAATTTGGAATTAAACAAAAGTAAAAACCTGAGCATAATTCTGGTGTTGAAATGTATTCACTGTTGGCTGTACAGATCGAATTTCCAAATTTGACTGCTGCCATACAACTGGTACATTACTCTCAACTCGTGAGGAATGACATGCCGTGTCCTAAATATACATTTTTATAAGATAGAGTGAAAATTTTTTTTTGAATCTTTTTTAGTCCAAAGGAAAAAGATCTTACATTATTGGTTTTCGCTTCAAATGCACGAGAATCTTGAACGGTCGGATGAAAATTAACAATCCAGCTACCAGATGAATGAAGCTGTGGCAAAAGAACGCATAAACCTTAATACTCCGCTATATTAATACAAAAAATATTCTAATAAGAAAACATAAAAAACAACATGAAGAAAATATTTTAGTAAAAAAGTGCATGTCATATGCATTTCATATTGTGTTTACAGAAAGTGGCTCCAAAAAATTTACCTTTATTTTGCAGTGAAAAAATAAAATCAGTCATTGATGGTGGAATACCATGAAGTAATTCTGAAAACACAAACGTAGATTAAAAAACTTTTACTTGAAACTCTTTTCTCTTCCTCCTGTAGATCGTGGTCAATTTTTTTATAATTTGTCATTGTAAATGTAAAGACTATTTTGCCAATCATCCCTATTCTGTCCTCCATACTCATAAAAAAAGATAATAATTAAGATAATTATTCAAAGAATGGAAAATTCGTTTTTTCTTAAATCAAGGACCATAATTTTAAAAATATTTTTGCCGTTAAACCTGTAGTATAAAAGTTATGATTAATTACGAATAACGACTATTATTTTGAGTATATTTAATCAAAGAATTTCTTAAAATCATTTCCAGTCATAATCAATTTTAAAAAAATATTACGAATTATTAAATATTTGCATATTATTTATAAAGATAAAATTATTAAGCATACAGTCTTTGTAGAAATATTACTTATTGTAATATAATTTTTCTATAAGCTCCGGGTAATGAGAACAGTTGGTGGGCAAGCATAAAAGAGTACTAACCATTCAATTAATGTAAAACAAAAAAATATAGGAGCAATAATCAGTTTTAGCAATTACAGCAATAGCAGCAACGGCTTTTATTTTCATGTAGCACTACTTTTATAACCAGACGAAATTTTAATGAAATATTTTTTGCTTCGCTTTGATATAAAATTCTGCACCATTAATTCAATCATGGATAAGAAATCCTATCATAAAATGAAGGAAATAGACCATAAAACCTGAAGAATATCCATCTTGAGGTAAAACAAATGGCAAACATAGCTCAGATTCCTCTTCTAATTGCACTGACATTCCGTCTTGTGCTGCCATTTCATCTGCTTGTGTTATAGCAATACGAGCCACATTGTCTATCAAAATGTCACTTATAGCTTCTTCACCAACGTCAAGAACTATATGCTCCAACAAATAACGTACCTGAAAATGAGCAAGCAACATCCTATTCCAAAATATGAAAGAGAATGATGAAATATTGTATAAACAGTCCATTCAATAAAATATAAAAATTATAAATATAATAAAATATAGTACGATAAAAATTATTTTCAACAAGCAACAAACTTTGGAACCAACAATCATGCTATTTATCCCACTTTTTAACAGGAAATATATATATATATATTACTGGTTAGGCTGGCTACAAAGGTAAGACGCTTCCAACCGGTGCGGTCTGATGCCATCGTCGACAGTAATGGAAGCAATTCCTTTTTCCATCGTCTAAGTCCATATATTGCTGGTCCATCTATACGTTCAAAATCTTTTCTCACCGTATCAGTCCAGGTCTTGATTGGCCCACCTGGCTTTTGACGCCAACAGTCAAACGGTTTAGCAAATAACGAAATATGCATAAACTCCTGTGGTGGACGACGGAGAATATGCCCTAACCAGCGAAAGCGGCACTCTATGATAACATTATTTATGCAAAAGGTACGAACGAAGATGGATGCGATCTTGTGATATCTTATCCACTCGACGTATCTGTAATATGTACCTTAGACAAAAGTGGTCAAAGGCAGACAACTTCTTAATATCCTCCACTTTCAATGGCCAAGTCTCAGAACCATATAGTAGGATCGAACGGATCACGGCAATATAGATGCGGACTTTCGTTTTAATGGTGATTTCACAACGACTCCATAAAGGTTTCGTCAACCGGAAGAACGCTACCGTGATCCGAGTTATAATATCATCTTGTGCCTGTCCATTTGGTATTAGAGTGGACCCAAGGTATTTGGAAACAGGACTTCCTCAACCGGCAATGAATTTACAAAAAGAGACAATTTATCAGCTTCTTGCAAATAAGACGAAAAGACTTTCGTTTTATTTGCACTAATCCTGAGTCCGACTCTTACTGCTATAACTGTCAGCAAAAAGGACTATATCATCAGCAAGATCTGTTATGCTCTGGACTAATTCGGATACCTCTTGAATGCCGACAAGCAGTATCGATTATCCAGTCTATCGCATAGTTGAATATTGTGGTGGAAAAGAAGCAACCCTGACGAACACCTATTCTTATTTCGAAGGAATCTGTCAGCTTCCCATATACACAGACCTGCGCCGACGTGCGCTCATAAAATACCTTTATGAGTCTAATAATTTTCTCTGTAACACCGACACGTTCCATTAATCTCAAAAGCGCCGCTCAATAAATTGAATCAAAGGCAGCCGCAAAGTCGATGAAACATGTGGCAATGGGTTGCAAATATCTGAAGAGATATTCCAACACCCTTCTTAACGTGAATATCTGGTCAACATAACACCTGGTCTGAAACCAGCTTGATTAGGGCGCATCCTGCTGTCCCATAAGTCTGTTAAGTAGCAGGGAAACAAAAATTTTTGTTGAGACGTCTAATAGGCTGATTCCTCGATAATTGTCGCAATATGTCCTATCACCTTTCTTGAGAATTGGAAGCAGAATTGCTTTGCTCAAATCATCTGGTATATTTCTTTTTTCCATACTAAAGAGTACATTTATTGAAGGTGGGTTATAAAGGACGATGGACAGCATTTGAAAAGCTGAACTCAAAGACCATATTCTCCTGGAGTTTTGTTGGCCTTAAGCTTATGGATAACTGAAATTATTTCTTCTTCTGTTGGAGGCTCGTAATTGCAAGCGTATGCTTCGGCAAACGATAATAATAACAATATATATATATATATATATATATATAAACATCTTGAACGTTATTAATTCATATCTATGAATTAAACAAAAATGGAACCACAAAATACCTGCACACTATTCAATTTATAGCAGGTAACACCAAGGCTTGTAATGTTGTCCATTGTTTTCGGAGTGATCAATAAGGTGATGGCTTGTTGTATGCGATCCATATGACATTCCGCAGCCAATTCAAGACCTTGATGTTCAGCCCATGTATGGAGAATTTCAAATCGAGTATGAAGTCTTAATTGACAGACAACGAATTTAAGATACAAAAGCATGAATATAAACAAAAAGATTTCCACAAATCACAACCTCATGAGAAAATTTTACCTAACTCCAAATGCAGTGCTACAATATGCTTCGCCAGCTGGCGATACAAGCCAATTAAATATTCTTGCGTTAATGAAATGAAATAATTGAGAGAACAGCTGAATAGTTAAAGCTGCATTGAGACGACTTCGCCGTAAAAGACGCATAATTTCCTCCATAGCGCTTACTAATTCACCTTTAATTTCATATACTTTTGATTCTTTCTTTTTTTACCTTTTAAAAAGAAACATTGTAAATTTAATAAGTCATTGCATTCAGTTGTTTTCTGAATTTGTTCATGCTA